TCTAAGAGTAATTTCAAACTGGCTCTAATAGATGTAATGGGTCAAAGCCTGACACTTCAAGATTCACAAGAGGCACTAATCCACAGGGCTATCGAGGCGACTGCATTTATTAGTCTACCTTGGTTGGCTGCATTTTTACATGTGTATAGATTCTTTTTTATTTTCTATATATATTTTTATCAATAATTAATCATTTTCATAACTTCTCTGTTTAAAATTTAAAACCATGATGATAATAATAATAATGGAAAATTATTATTACAATTAAATGACAAGTTTCAAATCACCTTCCAACTGTTGACCTAGTTTAAAATCTTTAAATAAAATTTTCCAATCAAATATGTAATGTAATCTTCACTCGCTCAAGAAAAAAAAAAAAAAAAAAAAAAAAAAAAAAAACCTCCAAGTCATTGGAATTGAGTAAGAAACCTTGCCAGGGATGGATTTAGGAATTTGTGTGAGGAGTACTTCTCTTTTAGTCGGTTACTTAACGGTCATATACAGAGTATTTTAAATTAATGATGCATGCAACGCAATAGATTAAAAATGCAACAACTTAACATACATACATATACATTTATATGGAGGATACAATACTTAGGCAACATTATTAAATTGAATTACAACTCTGGCATTATTAGCTATAATAAAGATGCACAACTCATTATGTGGTGAATATGGTAGGTTTGTGTGAGATGGACTCCTCTTTTAGTTCGTTCTTACGGGTCATATACAGAATAAATGCGATCAAATATACATTGAGAGCGATGTCACACTTTTGGGGTCTAGTAGTATTTAGTACATTTTAAATTAACGATGCATGCAACATGTTAGACTAAAAATGCAACAAGTTAACAACGTAACATACATGCTATTCAATTATATGGAGGATACAATGCCTATGCAACATTTATTATTATTTTTCTTTAGAACACGTATATCGGCCCGTAACACTGAGCACATGCACAATTCAAGTCAGGAGTGCGGTTTCAAAACTAGATTTCAAAGACTTACCTCTTAAATCTCTACCAATGCTATACCCCTAAAAGCAATACTTATACAACATTATTAAATCGAATTACAGCTTCGATCCCCACATTTTTAACTATAACAAAGATGCACAACTCATTTTATGTGGTGGATATGGTAGGTTTGAGACAGGCAATTCAACTCATAAATGCCTCCTCTAATTATACCACCAATGTTTTGAAACTTTTAGTAGTCTTTAGTTTCAAATATAAATGATGGACCATGGTTTTGGAATGTCCATTTAAGGTGGCATCATGATTAAACATTTTCTTCAGGTTGGTTAATGAATTCTCCAAGGAAAGTTGTCTAGTTATGATTAAAATGGAGTCAATGTTGCTACAAGTAGCTGAAATTAAATAAAATCATTTTTCCTGATAAATTATGATTTCAGTTAAAGAGTGCAGTGTTTAAAAAATAAAAACAATAAGAGAGAGAGAGAGAAAAGAAGAATAATTTCAAGAAGTAGGAGGAAAAAATAATAATAATAATAATAGTAATAATAAAAGAAAAAAAATGGCATAACTTATAAATGAAAAATAAAAAAATAAAAAAAATAAAGTTTAACTTAGGAAGGGAATTTAACTTTACTAAAGTGGAGTCTCGCTCAGTAAAGAGAGTTCTAGATTCGTAGAGAAGCAGAAGAGTCTTTTTATTTTTTTTAATTTTTTTTTTAAATGAAGGAATTTAAAGACTAAAAGAGAAAAGAACCAAAAAAAACTAAGAGATAATTTTAAAAACTAATAATTTGGGGGCAAAACATAAATAATTTCATATATGTATGTAAAAAATAAAAGCAAATTACATATGTATTATAGTGGTCCGGGCAAGTGCTCCTACATACATTGGCTCTGCCCTGGTTTTGGATTTTAAATTCGATGCTCTCAAATGCAAAGCACCATTGCTCATATTTGAACGATCTTGTTATTAAAAAATCATACCAAAATATCTTAAAATAAAATTATACTAACTAGTCAAATATCACAATTTAGTTTGATAGAAAATAATTATAAAAAATATTATGTAAAAGTTTGATTAAAGCATGTGATTTATTATAAATAAATTTTAATACGAAATTATAACTATATACTGTAATTCTTATATTGTTCTCATTGAGATGGATTAAGTTCTTCTCTTAAAAATTTGATGTAATTAAGGCACAATGGATAATTCAAGAGTTCTATAACAAGGTGCAATCGAGAATTGGAAGCAAACAACTTAACTTTACCATCTATATATATAAAGTAAGCCATTTCATTTACTTGTGATGCATAGATACATATTGTATCAATTGGAATACTGTCCTGCCTTTTTTCTTCTTATTTTTCTTTTTATTTATTATTGTTAATCAAAGTGTGAGGCCTTTTGAGCCTGTTTGGCGTTGCTGTTAGAATAAAAGAAACATTTTTGTCCCTAAGTTGTGAAAAATTTACTGTTGGTAAAAAACATCTTAGGTGTTTGGTGACATATTATAATAAGTACTTTAAATAATTAAATTATTTATAAATTTATTTGGTAATAATATTTTTTAAAACACTTTTATTGTTAATTTTACAATACTATCCTTTAATATAATGTTACTATATTTGATAGTAAAAACTTGAAAAATGATTTTTACATCGATTAGTTGTAGTGAATTGTCAGGCTTTTAATTGGTTATTTATGCAAAAATAAGGGAATGAGATTCTTCATTTCTATTTTGCATAGAGCAAAGTGAGAAAAATAATCTTAATGTTTTAATTTTGGACAAATAACACCCTTCTCGTTTATTTTGGGTATATAACTCCATTAACTCCGTTAAGTTTGAAAAAATGAGTAAAGAATGGCTTATATTGTGTATATAAGTCCGTTAAGTTTGAAAAATGAGCAAAAAATGACTTGAAGTCACTATTAAGATATAAAATTTTGAAAACACTCGTATCTCTTCCTATAATGCTCTTATAAGGGAAAAGTGAGAAAAATACCCGTAATGTTTACATTTTGGGCAAATAACACCCATATAATTTATTTTGAGTATATAATTTCGTTAAGTTTGAAAAAAATTTGGCAAAGAAGGGCTTGATGTCATTTGTTTCGTTAAAAATTTATTCATGTGTATTGCACATGACATTTTTAAGATATAAAATTTAAAAAATACCCTTATCTTTTCCGATATTGTCCTTATATATATATACATACTTGTCACATTTTATTGGTTTTTTTTACCTATTTTTTTATTCAGTTATAGATGACTACTTTAGTCTTTTTAGTATTCAGGTCCTTACTTGTACCAAAATTATATGTTAGTTATTTCACATTTAATTAGTTTTTTTTACTTATTTTTTTATTCAATTATAAAGGGGCACTTTAGTATTTTCAGCATTCAGGTGCTTGTTTGCTTCAAAATTGAATGTTGGGAATTTTTAGAATGTATAGAGGGTTATACACTCTATATGCATAACATAGTGGTGTTTTTCATAGATCAAAACCATTCAGTTAGGTAATTCATTGCAACTCTTCGACGCAATTTCAAAAGTTTCAAATTCTATATTTATTCAAAAGCTCTACTATACTCAATCCGGTAACTATTAAAAACGCTTTTAATAGTTACCAAATACTGTGTGTTCGCCCGTATGGAATTGAAGTTTTGAAATTTGAATTTGTGAAATTTGAAAAAAATTTAGTTGAATGTTCTTAGTTGTTTTTTTTCAAATTTTCACAAATTTTAATTATTTAATTACATACAACCGAACACCCATTAAACAAAATTTTTTTTAAATAAAAACATTTGAAAAGCAATTAACCGGCTCCATAACCCACCATAAAACACATGCAGTGTTTTAATTTCGCGCGGTCCCCTCATCTAATAGATGTACAATCCATTTGTCCAAGTTCGCTCCAAGTCACAATCTGAACCTCCGATCCAGCCCATAAACGATGTATTGACCGAGTTTCGTTAGACCAAACTTTGACTTTGATTGCTGCCTCAAAGAAGAGTTAGGAGTAGGAATTGCATGAAAACAGATTCCTAACCAATAGACATCAATAACTACTGATGTGCATGTGATGTTGTTTTTTTTTTTTTTTAAAAAAAAAAAAAATAAAAACTATTGAAAAATTTCAATTCACAAAGAAAAGTTTGTCAATAAAAAATTAAATAGATAGATCATATTTAGATTAGCATATTCACAATTCAATTACAAATCAAGTTTTTGTAATTAAATTCAAACCCCTATTTAGTGAATTTAATTTTCTAAACTGTAACCAATTTTTGTATAAATAAAATAAAAATTTACACACCAAAATTTAAATTCAAATAAAAGAGAAAGGTTAGAAAGAGGTATGTTATTTTTATTTTTTTTATCTTCTCAAATTAAGATGAGGGGACTTTAACACGGGAACATTTATTTTTTTTATCTTCTCAAACTAAGAGTAAAAGGGACTCGAATACAAATACATATGTTCAAGGAACTTAACGCTCTAGATTATGAGTAATGCCTAGGCATTGTTTGAATTAAATTTTTTTTTTCTCACTTTAGGGGACCAAATAATTTTGTTATAAGAATTGCACTCTACACTTTATAGTTTCTGATGATCAAATTAACTTTTCTTTTTTATTTTCTTTCTCTTTTTGAGTATCACTTTATTTATACTCAACTTTTTAGTTAGAAAAAGGAATTTACTCCAAATAACTTGGGTTAAAAGCTTAAAAAGTAACTAACAGTCTTATGATGTTTCAATTATCAAATGATTACCGTTCAACTCCAACCCCATTATTATCAAGTAATGAAAGCTAATTGTAATAATAGTAGTAATAATCATGGTCTCTTCGACAACTGTAACCCAAGAAAACACCAAGAAGCGTACCTCCTCCACGACAACACGCCACGTGCCACTTGGTCAATGACCCACACGCGTACTTTACCCACACAACCAACCCAGCTGCCTAGCTGGAGCGTAGTACGCACTAATCTCTCTCTGAAAAAACACACAAACACACAACCAACCCAGCTGCCTAGCTGGAGCGTAGTGCGCACTAATCTCTCTCTGAAAAAACCCACAAACACACTCTCTCTCTAAACACATTCTCTCTCCTGCGAGAACTGAAAAGAACAATAGGCTCTGGATCTTAGCCGCCTCTCTCTTCCCCAATCAGCGCCAAATTCTAAAGATAATCTCTGCAATTGGACGAAGCAATTGATCGATCGATCGATCGAGTCTCGAATCACGAAGAAGTGAATTGGCACTCTTTGCTATATCGATTCGATCATCACCTGAGACTGTGATTCTTCTCTAAGTCAGCTTGATATCGTCACCAAACTCGATTCAGATAGGTACGTTTTCCGATTTGTATATTCTAGGGTTTACATTTCGTTCCTCACTCAATCTATCATATCCTTCACTTGGATCTTCAACTCACAGACTCTACAGCAATCCGTTTATTGTTTTTTTGTTGGCCGATTTTGCTCAGACCGTGTTGAATTTCCTTTAAATATGATTGAATTCATGTAAAAGAATCGATTCTCTATGCTGTGTGATTCGGTGAATGGCTTCGATCCGAAGAACTCTTTCGCCGTACCACGACCGTCCGTATCAGAACGGAGGGAGTCCGTTTTCGGTGTCGTCACCGTCTCATAAACTTCTGTCTAATGGTAAATACTCGTCGCCGTTGTCGACATTTGGCGGCGGAGTCCACAGTTTTTTCGCCGGTGTTTTTCTCCAGCGGCACTCGCGTAAAGGTCACCAAACATGGAAGAGGCCGTTCTATAGGTGTTTGTTGTTTTTCATGCTAGGGTTCTTATTAGGTATGGCCCCTTTCGGCAATGATGCTGATGTTCGAAATCACGATTTTTCGTTTGAGATCAAGTCACCATTTGTAAACGTTCAAGAGGAAGTAAATAACGTTGTTGGGAAACCAGAGGATTTTGAGCTGGATATGGTGGAATTAGGTGTTGAGAGAAGGTCGAGTATGAAAGAAAAGTTTGATTTCATTCCCCGGAAACAGTTAATTGTGGTTACTCCAACGTATAACCGTGCACTTCAGGCATTTTACTTGAATAGATTGGGGCAGGTGCTTAGATTTGTTCCTCCACCACTTATGTGGATTGTGGTGGAAATGAATTCGGCATCAATGGAAACTGCAGATATACTGAGGAAAACTGGTGTTATGTACAGGCATTTAGTTTGCACGAAAAACTTGACAAATATAAAGGACCGGGGTGTTCACCAAAGGAACTTGGCTCTCGAGCACATTGAACACCATAAACTTGATGGGATTGTTTACTTTGCAGATGATGATAATATCTATTCACTAGAGTTGTTTGAGAGTATGAGAGAAATCAGGTAACTTTTACTTCAATTTTACTTTTAGTTTCTGTAAAATTCCTTCAATTCTTGATTTGTTATAATGATGCACTGCTGCAAGTTGAAATCTAGATATATGATAATTTAGTTGCATTGTTTTTTTTGGGTAATTAATTTAGTTGCGTTGTTGGTTAGAACATTGTCTCTGTATGTAAAGTTGCCTTGTCATCAAGCACTCAATGCATGTTACCTTTCTCTTTTGGATTGCTTATGCCTGCCCCCTATAGGTCCAAGTCATTCTGTTACCTTCATTTGCTTTTATATCAGTTTGTCGTGTTCTATTGTATTGCAATCTACTTTGTAGTTATTGGTGTAATTTTTATTGAGATAACACTCATGTTACTAGGTTCTTCATTGCTTAAGCTTTTGAACAGAAAGAGCTTGTATGGAAATCTATTTCACACACAGTTGAGTAACTAATTCACAATCAATCGGTCATCCCCAATGCCGCCACGGGGGATAATGAAGGGGAAATGCAGTTTAAAAAATCATTGAAATGTGGTCGAGGGAATCAGTCTTGAACTATTGGAGAGCCTAGGGAATAAATTTAAAGCGTAGAGGAAGTAAAAAGAAACAAATTTGAATCCTCATAGATTTTACTTTATTGTTATGGAAACATTGGCGGAACATATAACTGAGTTAAAAAGAATATTTAATAACGTGAAGCATATGCAAATTCAAAACTTCATTTGTGCAATGAAAATAATGCTTTAGGAAGCTGGTCTGCTTCTGATTTATTTATTTTCCTAATTCCTTTAAAAGTTTCCTAGATTGTCCATTTGTGTCCCTGCTTCACCGCCTTGCACCCCTCCCTGCCCCAGCTCCCGCCTGCGGAGGCGTCCCTGCTTCACCGCCCTGCACCGGTCCTCCCTCCCCCAGCTCCCGCCTGTGGAGGCAAGTGCTTTCCCCTAAATTATGGATTACAAAACCATGGAATATGGGAAGTGGATTCTGTATAAGGAGGAGAGTTCTGGTAACTTTGGTTCAAACTTAGTCTGCTGAGCTTTGAAATTCTCACGTGCTTCTATTTGTAACATTCTTCCATCTTATTGCATGACACTTAAATGCATCAATCTCTTTACTTTTTCTACAATGACTCCTATCCTATAATATTGCTATCCTTTCATACTTATGACAAGATTTGTTTTTTCTTTGGCTTGAAACTCGTACAGCCATTTACCATACGGGGACTCTAACCCTCACCTCCCACTTTGGGAGGTAGAGGAGATACCACTAGGCTACAGCCTCTGGTGGTTACTTATGACATTATTTTAACTGGTTGAAACTAATGAACTCTCCTTAACCCAAGATCCTCCATACCCATGCCCACCTGAACAAAATGTGCTGATGTTTAAATTGTTCTTTCTAAATAAAATTGAAGACTACGTACTATGATCTTGCTTCTAAATCAGATCTCTATCTTTAAATTGTTAATTTTAATTTGTTAGATTGGGATGAGCTGATGAGGTTAGATCTTTAACCTCTCCTCATATAACAACCAATCAAAAAAATTTCTTCTTTTGTCTGGTATTTGATGCTTTGCCAAATGGTGGAACTTTGTTGTTGGATATTTCTTTGCAAATTTTAATACTTACCACTTGTGTTTTCAGCCGTTTTGGCACGTGGCCTGTTGCTATGCTTACACCAAGCAAAAACAAGGCAGTATTGGAAGGTCCAGTATGCAACGGAAGTCTAGTAATTGGATGGCACACAAATGAGAAGAGTAAAAGACTGCGTAGATTTCATGTTGATATGTCAGGGTTTGCGTTCAACAGCACCATATTGTGGGAGCCGAAGAGATGGAAACGCCACACTTCAGCTCCAATTCGGCAGTTAGACACTGTTAAGGAAGGTTTTCAAGTATGCATCACATCATCTCATTTTCATATGTTCTTCACACTACAATATTTGACAAATTGAATGCACCTAAATTTGTGCCTTCAACGTGACATTTATGCACTGATAGTCGTGGCTTGTCACAGGAGACCACATTTATAGAACAAGTGGTGGAAGATGAAAGTCAAATGGAAGGTGTACCCCTTGGTTGTTCAAGGATCATGAACTGGCATATCCATTTGGAAGCTCGCGAACTTGTCTACCCCCGAGGCTGGCTGCTTCAGAAGAACCTTGATGCTGTTCTCCCCGTTGAGTGATGGACTTAACCCTATAATCGTGGTACTGAGAGCCCCGAAGAGGTTTGATTCACGCATTATGTATTTATTTGCTTTGGGCTTTGTTGGTTGGGGATGCTTGCTTACATAGAGCTTATTAAAGAAATATATAAAAACTACCAAATAAAAAGCTCTTGCTGGAGGTAAAAGATAAAAAAAACAAATACAAATGTATTAGTCGTTTATTTATTATCTCTAGTTGTATAATTTGATAATGCTGCAGTGTAACAATACTCCAAGAGAAGTGCGTGTGAGAGAGAGAGATGCATTCAGTCTCTATGGTGTACTTGTTGAAAAAAATTTCTTATGCTATTATTTTTTCATGGCAGTTCTGGGTTCCGTATTGAGCTGGTGGTATCCTCTTCCCTGAGCAGATCCTCCTGACAAGTTATCACCAAATGCAATGGTAGAAATGACAGATTCTAAGCTGACACACAAACGTGGAAGAATCATTATCTTTGCTTGGTAGATTTTTTCTTCATTCATTCTTTTGCAGAAACGGAATTTCGTTTTTGCTACAAAAGTCTTTTTTCGCTTTTTTCGGGGATCGAGGATGCAGTCGCCTCTAAATTTTCTCAAATTCATCTCATCCCCTCTATAAATTGGAAGATGTTTATGCTGTGGTTTTGCCTGTTGTGGATTAATATAGTGTCTGTGAGGTAGGCCTTGTACTAAAAAACAAGGGGCATTAGCCCTAAGTGTAGTTGAAATGCCCTTTTTGCCCATGCATTCCTAAGAATTTTGTCAAGTGGGCGTTTCTGCTTTATACCAATGTCATTGCAACATGGAGCCTCTTTGTATTGAGGAAGAGCATTGATCTTTTATTTGATTCATTCATTTCATGCTATGTATTATAATTGGCATGCTTAGGAGTATTTGATTTTGATTAATTTATTCATGCTACGCATAATTGGCCAGAAAATGTTTTCGCCATTTCTTGGTATAATTGACTACATACTATTAACAATATTACCCAGTTCAATCATCATCGGATAATTTGAGGCTGGAATATTGGTGTTCCCAAAAGCTCGTTACTTTATTTATTTATTATTATTATTATTATCATTTTTGTCAAAATGAAAGGTAAGATCTTATTATTTATTTTTAATATATATATATATATATATATATATATATATATATTAAAAATAAATAATAAGAATAAAACTGTCACCGGAACATTTATGTTTATGTTTAAGCTTTGGGGGAAGGGTTGGTTTTGATTGTTACTTGACCTTTTTAACCTGTTCAGTGGTTGCCGAAAAATGACTTTTGAGTGTAATTTGCCCATCGTCATGAGATGGTGGTGTCGAAAAATGACTTTTGAGTGTACTTTGCCCAACCTCGTGAGATGGTGGTGCAATTTACCCTTGATACAAACATGCAAACCTGGCTAATAACGGGAAAACCGCTCTAATTTGCTACCATGCCTAACGCAATAGGAGAATTGCAATATTCCTTTAGACCAGTCATTGGTAATTATCCGACATGAACAAAGAAAAAAAAAAAGGATAACTCTATTTTTCTCAGATTGTACTTTAATTCATGGTTGCACTGGATGACTTCATCTAGAAATATTGTATTGCATCCCGGGCTAAGGGTGTAGTTTTAATTCATGGAAGCAGTGTGCCAACCAACCGGTCAGTAGGTCCCATAAATCTGACAGATTGAATACCTAACCAAATCCATGCCACAAATGAGAGAATGTGTATCATGAATCAAGGCTCTGTATTCATTCATTTATTCGTACTGTGTATTATATACTCTATCAATCAAGGCTCTATGTATTCATTCATTCATTGGGATTCTCGGTTCCCTTGACCTAAAGAAGGGAACTGCATCCTTTTTGCGACAACTACGTACCCAGTATTACAGATATTTATATTAAACATGCCAAAAGATTATAAAGGAAGTGAACGTTGTAATTAAATAAAAAATGAAACAAAATAGGGGAAAATAAGAATACAACTATGGTACATTCCGCGAGCAGCTGTTAATGGAGCAAACTTCAGCAGTGTAATTCATTGGTAGAATTGCTTTCCCACATGCCTCTGACCCAACTTAATTCTTCCAGGGTTCCACTGATCAGCACACCGTTCTCTGAAGTGATCTGCTGGATATAGAACCCTCCAATTTGTACGGCATTTTTGAGAACTGGAAGCGTGGGGATCAGGACCAACACCTGATTGGTCCATGTATTAAGTTATGGCGTTGCTGGCCAATTTCTTAAACTCTCAGGCTTCCAAAAATCAAGTCAGTGTCGCACCATGAACTGAAGAACTAGTCTCTGAAGCATGCAAAGAAGATGCCATACTTGGTTGCTGCACATGTGATTCTTTTGCAAGGCCAAGAAGTACAAGAGTTGATCTGCCAGAATGGAAACTAGTAAAGTTACTGAAACACATGAACAACATTGAAAGTCACCAGATCCGTGCCCAAGAAAGTGAGCACCACCAAATGTGGAAAATACATGGCTTACAGACACGAACATCTCTAAATATATAAAAAAAAAAATACATGGCTTAATGCCATAAAACAATCTCAATTAGAAACTTAACATGTTTAAGCAGTTGGAGAAATCATGTTCTCGTTATGTGAAAAAAAGAAGGAAGAAGGATCTCATGATCTTCCAAATTAACAAATCCTTGGACTTCGGTGAAAAAGAAGAAAATAAAAGGCCTGATAACAACTGAAGAATTTGAAGCTGAAACCCAATCTCCAGTTTTAAAAATTTTATTTGCAAGTAGTCACAAAAGCAATAACAAAATACACGTGCGCTACAAATTTCATTAGAACAAAGGGACCAAATGTTAAGTTTAAGATCCATTTCCCTTGCAATTGGATATACCAAACTCTTGACATAGCGTGCCATGATATTGCACCATAACAATGATATATTTAAAAATTTCCGTCCGCAAGATCATCACACAACATTTTAACTAATTACAAATATATATTTCTTTACATTTTGGGACATCATGAATCCTGGAAATTGTTTCAACATTCCCAAACAGCCTGAGAAAAAAGAAGCGAGACCATGATCATGATGAGCAAATCCCTAGCAGTATAGCAGTATAGGTGGTTTGAACACATTCATTAAATTGGTGATCTCAATTGTTTTAAACACTAAGCAATTCAATTTTAGCTCTTGATCAGAAGAAGAAACTATAGTTATACAAATTTAGTTTCATTATGTAAGAGACGCCACATATGTACACAGATGAATTCCAAATCTACCCTTGGGATCCACAAAGGGCTCTGTAAAAATAAGAAATGCTGTGAATCCTGAAAAATTTATCCATATATGGTAGAACACATAAATTTAGTCCTTCAAGATTAGGACTAAACGCCTGGAGCAATTGAAGTTCAACCTAAAGTTATCCAACCAAAAAAAAAAAATAGATTACCCAAAAGCTTAAGCTTTAACAACCTTATTCCTAAAGTAAATCTACCAGTCTGAAAGAAGTCGCAAACAATTTGCGATTTACACTCCGTAATTCTATAAAATTATTTTCTTATAGAGAAACCAAAATAGGGTCGATCATAAACATGTAACTACTCCTAAGTGAAACTTGCTGAATTTTCTATAATTCACTGAATTTACAATAAGAAATCAAGTGTATTGCCTTCTTGTTAACAAAAATTATAGTGTTGTGCAGAAAAGGCCTCCATAGAGATTACCAACACTAATCAAAATGAAGGGTGTCACTAGCTAATTGCTTTGAATTAAGATAAATGGAAAATCAGATCCAAGTAAAATGTACCTAGGTAGTGAAGCTCTTATAATAGGTTGGCTGGCATAAGCAGCAAGGGGACCTCTGAGGTTAGCATATTTGGTCAGAGCACTTTCAAGCTGTGGTTGTGGTAACTGTAAGCAACAAATGGAGGGAAAAAAGCTGTATAAATTAAAGGGACTAAAAAGGCAATGAGAAGTTTCAATTTATGAACAGACCATCTGGTACCTGTAATAATACATGGAAAGAATGTGGCTGTGTCTGAGAGACACATTTCAAGAAACCAACCCACAATTTTGGCATTCTCCACACCTATATCCCTCATAGACAAAAAGAATCAGTTGTCATAGTCATGCTAAAAAGGAATATTTTTTTTTTGATAAGGTAAGTTATAAAGGAATAATCACTGCTATTAAAACCACAAGGTAAAAAAATCTTAAAAGGAAAGAGAGCCTAACTTCAAATTCAGTGAATATACCTGTTTATTCACAAGCTTGGAGAGAATTTCCATGACAAAATCAACCTGGATATAAGCAGGCATGTTTGGTATAAAACGATTACTAGATCCCTCTAAATATCATGCTATGATTCTATCACTTGTATATATAAAACACAAACATATCCTGATAAACACAAACTATGAGATGTTTCCCACTGTCAGCATTGACTGCAGATAATGATAAATACCATATACATAACCTCAAAAGTTCCATTTGCATTCAAGATACAACTTTTGGACAAAACAAATTTTGCCCCTATAGTTCGATTTCAAAGACCAAAACGACGTGGCATTGAAAGACCAAAACAGCACGGCATTGAAAGACAGTTTTATGTATCAGGAAATGCTTTTTTGTTTTAAAAGTTCAGTCTCCAAAGGGTAATTCTCCCTTCTCTTATACCTTATAAAAATGTTAAAACAATGACACCACTTCTGTTTTTTCTTCCACCGTGTCAAATAACTGCTGCTAGGGCAACTTTCACAAAGTTTCAGGACTTCCACAGAAACTTGGTGGAATGCTTCAGGCTTAATTCGGGATATGATGTTGTCATACATGTTGGCAAGTTTATGCATGATTCTGATGCACATTTTGGAGTTTTAATTCATTACTTTTACTCTCAGCACAATTGATAGTAGGTAAGCTGCAGCAGGCAGCAGCAATGGTAGAACTACTATTATCTACGTCTTTGTTTTTGAATCACTTATTTTAATAAATGACTATTAGTTATAAATCAGTAAGACCAATAATAACTCATTAACCAAAAGCAATAAAATTAAGAAAGAAATGAACTTAATACAGACTACTGGACTGGACAGTATGTCGGAACAAACTGTTAGTCTCACACTTAGATCAGGCAGCTAAATTTACAATTTACGATTGTCTTCTAACCTGGAAACAAACATTATAGCTAATACAGACTACTAAATTGGAGAATGTCGGGAAAAAACTATTAAATTAGGCATAAAACAGGTAGCTCAATTTACATTTTAAATTCGCCTTTGAGTATCCTACATAACAGTTAGGTGACCATATCTCAAAATCATCTCCAAATTGCCGATGGACCAGTAAAAAGCGGTCCTATACTGTCGAATGTTATCATGGATTCGATGCAAACTTATATAAGGAATATATATAGAATGCAGCAAAAGAAGAATGGCAGTTACCAGTGTAGGAAAAGCATCGATCGCCTGGATTACTGTTCTCATGAAGAGCAGGGGCAGAGGAGTTTGGTCAACCTAAAAAAATTAAGCAATTAAAACATGAAGAAAACAACATGAAAAGGTCTAAAAGCTCAAAAATACTTATGGATAACATTTACCTACCATCTGATTTAAGGCCTTTGCCAATACTTGCTGTGTGAAAACAGTGCGCTGCTCAAAACAAGCTGAGCAAACATCTGTAATCTGGAAACAAAAATCAGAAGCACAAAAAAACGATTCAACAAGAGTAATGCAAGGGAAATTCAGGGGATACCCCATAAAACCATCTCAAAATGACATGGTCACCGCTAAATGTGGTACACATGTGCAACAAGTCACTCTCATTTGACACTGTTAAGAAGATACTCCCAGCCAAACAAAGTATTTGGGATAGGACTTCTCGAGTAAAGTTGTTTAAGGTCCACAGAAACATATACCAGAAATCTGAACCATCTAAAGACTAAACCTTGAAAAAATGTCTGCAGTATTTTCCCCATTTATTGATTTAACACAATTTTACTGAGACCACAAATGGTTATCACTATCACCAAATATAATGGGAGGTAGCAATGAAAATAGTGTGCATGACATAGAGATGCAAAGTTGGAAGTCATCTTTAGAATCTACCAAATGGAAAAGTAATGCTTCATTTATGAATGAAACAATCATTTAAAAAATAATTGAATACGTGCCTTTTTAAGTGCAAGTCCATCTTTCTCAGGATTAATGTCATGGATTGCAACCAATACTTCTGCTGGTGTCAATGCTGGACCTGTATGTGCTGAACCCTGCCATGAAACTCAACAGTCTCAGCACTTCACGAGTTTAAGCAACACCAAGTTATATGTCTCAATTAACATTTTAGAACACTGAGTTTTTGCAGAAAGAAAATAAAAACCTAAACATTTTCAACCATTTAATTTAATGCATGCGCGCTGTCTAAAATATAAAGAAAAATAGTTCTAGGTGAAAAAAAAGAAAAAGAAAAAGAAGAAATTAAAAAACTGTTCAATTGAACAGCTTTATCTAGTTTATCTGTTGAATTTTTATATCTTTAGGAGTACAACAAATTAAAAAATCAAAATTGCAATAAAGATCTACATATATATGTTCAACAGTGTTAATAAAAAAAATTCTCAAAAAGAATTTGTTTATCTTCTACATATATTTGTCAGTCTTGACCAATTGAGATCAGTTAAACTTCAATTTTTCAGAAAGAGTATAACAGCAACCCTTAGTTTTTTTTTTCTAGCAATAAAAGATGACGTTGGATGTAAAATAACAATATAATATATTAAATTTAACTCTTTGGGTGGAAAAAGAAATGGGCAAAAGCATCAATCATACCTGTAGTATGTGAGCAAGCGCTCTCTGAAACTTATCCAAGGGAAGGTTGACCAGCCGAGGAAAAATAGGTAAAACCTAATATCATAGAATTAACTATACAAATTAATATCAAAACAAATATTAAGAATTATTCAGGAAAAAAATTAAGATTTTGACTATTTTTTCGCTATTGAGAATAATATAGAGTTGTACTTATGTAAACATCATAAAGTAACAGGCACGCAAAAGAAATTAAAACAAATGATGCCATCTTGTAGTCTTTCAGCGCAATGGTGTACAAGCCTAAATCAAAATTAATGATTAATACAATTATTGGATTAATAAAATTAATTTAAGCAAAAAATATCAGCGGCATTTGAATTACACAAGCTTAAATTGTTAAAGCAATCTCTGACGATCATATTAGGAACAAAAAAAAGTTTTCAGATTCCTCATATAACACAGGTGTCCATTATCCTCGTAATGGAGCACAGCCAGACAGCAGAGTCCTTAATGTAGAAGGACGCAGCAAAATAAAGATGGAAATTGATATTACCGTAAAAGCAAAGTGAATAAAAATATAGAACAGTGATAGTGTTTTTTTTCACCCCCCTCCCTTAACATGTTCAAGATAGTTTTTTCCCCTTCTACATTGTCCATTCCCTGTCATCCTCCCAACAGCAGGTATTGAGCCCACCGCTAGTTCAGGCTACAACAAAGTTCCCAAAATATCAACATAATGTAACATAATGATATATATATTGACAATGCCAGTGAAATCAGTCCACAAAATGATAATCAAAGGCCTCATTCCAGTTTGGTCAGACTTTTGGGCATTTTTAAGCTCCATTTAATATGCAGAAAGCCTAATTGATCAATAGCACATATTGACTTAAGTTGACAAATATCTAACAAAACAGAGTCCATATTTTTATCATTTCAGTTCCTTTTTATGTTTCAAAAGTTAGTTTATTTAGTTAGGTCAATGTTACCATTTGATCCAAAGTCCTCCATGAAGATTTCATGAGATCAACAAAGGTAAAAAGGTAAAATTACCACTTGAAGATCAAACTCACCGATTAGGGTTTTCATTATGCATTCAAATCATTATTCCTACTTAGATTGTATCTCATATCTATATTTTATTATTAAAAGTACAAAGAGTTTCAGAACATTATTGAATTTCAGTACATTAATTTATTTTTTAATATATATTATAAATAATTTTTTTAATATTGCGTATCTAATTAGATTTCCTTTTCAATTAAACCTTTTCTATTTCCTTTTTTACTCTCTCACTTTTCTATTTGTTTTTTACTCTCTCAACTACTATATTATTATAATCAACTAAACAAATAAGTTTTAAAATATTATATATAAATAATTTTTTTTAATATTATAAATCTAATTTGATTTCCATTTCAATCAAACATTTTCTATTATTATTATTATTAACTTATCCTACTATATTATTATGATTAACTAAATAGTGCGTGAGTTTCTATTTCTAACCTTTCCTTAACTCTTAAAGAAAAAAGTATTCTTTTCTAATTCTATTTCTTTCTATAAAATTCCACCCCTAATAATTTTATATGAACTATACTCCTAAACGACCATTATTTATAATTTATTTTGCTATTATTGTAATAATTAAGCTATTTCAGACCTTTCTCTTCTTGTGGCCTGCCGCAGTGTACATTTCTCTCCCAACTTTTCTTTTTTTTTTTTTTTTTCCTCTTCTTTTTAATACTGGTCCGTCCTCTCTCTCTCAACTCTTCTTCTTCTTTTTTTCCCCTTTTCTTTTTAATACTGTGTCTTGATCAAAGATCTGGTAGAAGCAACATCAGTACTTATAACCAATAATAATATTTTCACATATAGAGTTTTCTAAAAGGCAATTACATCAAAGAGATAACTATATATCTCCCAATTGCTTAAGGACAGAATTCACTGGATCAACATGTGTATTCTTCAACATACTTTCTCTAATCAGTTTTCTCATAAGTTTTGATAGAAGCAACATTATTACTTATGACCAATAATATTATTTTCATATATAGAGTTTTCTAAAAGGCTGTTACATCAAATAGTGAACTATACATCTCCCAATTGATCAAAGATAGAATTCACTTGCTCACCATGTATATTCTTCAGCATACTTTTTTCTTTTCTTTTTTTAAATTTTTATTTGTAAGTAAAGATTGTATAAAAGCGTTCAAAAGGGGAATGCATCCATCAAAAGCTACACAAGGCCAGATAGGGCCTCTAAACCCTCAAAGACTCCAAAAGACCTACAAGTTCCTCCAAGGATTTACAATTTCTCCCTAGAATCCAACAAAAAAGAGTACTAATAAGTGAGAACTTCAACGACGAATAGGATTCTCCTTTCCTTCAAAGGATCTCCTAGTCCTTTCAGGCCATAAACACCGCCATACACATAAAGGTGTGACCCTCCAGAAATCACGGGCTTGGACCCCAACTATACACCCTCTCCAAGCCTCTAGAAGATCTGGGCATAACCCACTAAACCCCAAACAAACCCAACAGCAAAATCCAGCAATCTTGAGCCACAGGACAATGTAAAAGAAGATCACCAACTATTTCTTCGTCGTTCTTACACATGCAACGCCAATTAACCACAATCTGATTCCTCCTCTTAAGGTTATCTTGAGTCAGTATCTTTCCAAAGATGGATGTCCATGCAAAAAAAGTCACTTTGAGAGGGGCCTTTGAATTCTTCAACATACTTTCTCTATTTATTTTAATAATATATTTATATATATATTTCAAAAATGACTATTAAGTAATATTGAGTAAAGTGAATAAATCTATTGATTGATTATTGAATGAAATTGGTGAATAATCTATTACATTAAATTAAATTGTTTTTATTTTATTAAATAAATATATATATATATATAAACAATAAATTTTTTAAAATTCTAATATACAAATGTCTTTTGTAGACTAATTAAGGACTAAAACTAATTAAGCTAGCTTTAACTTGGGTTTTAATTACTGTTCCAAATAGTATTTTTACTTTGTGCACTCCGTCTCCAACTTGTTTGCTAGAAAGCTATATATTGGTATAATTATATTGAACGAAGTACTTGGTTTGTAATTAAGCTAGCTTTAACTTGGGTTTTATCGGTTTTAATTATTGTTCCAAATAGTATTTTTACTTTGTCCACTTTGTCTCCGGCTTGCTTGGTAGATTGCTATATATTGGTATAATTATATTGAACGAACTATCTGGTTTGTATCTAAATTTTTAATGTCTTTTTCATTTTTTTTTTTTTCCTTACTAAATTTTCAGATTACAAGAATTACATCTTAGAAAGAGAATAGAGTAGAAAAGATAAATACCTAAATTATTATTATAATTGGAAGAATTAGAAAAATAATAGAATTTGGGTTGTCACAATATTAATTTTATTTTATTAATAATTTTCTTGATAAATAATTTTATTTTATTTTCTTAATACTGTTATCATAAATTGGTAAAATGATATTTATTTATTTTCAACCACATGCATCGCGCGTAGTCTTATACTAGTATTTAAAAAGCCATGAAAGTTATTTTGAATGCATAGAATTTGTTTTTGGATTTAAAAACCGAAGTTTTGAGATAAACATGGGATTCGATTGATTGAGCTATTGATGATCAACCTGATCAATGGGTCGATCAAACTCTGAGGACAGCAGTTTTCTAATTGATTTAAACAGTCAAACCGAATTACTTCAGTTGCAAACTCTATATATAAACTCCTAAAATGCTAGTTGGAGAACAATTAAGACAAAAGAATCGGATAGCATGAAGAGCGGGTAGTTCATTCACAGCTACAGAATTCAAGTGGAGTATTTAGCGTCAGCCTGGATCAAAGATAAATCGGGTGCTTATAGGGATAAGGGTCTGAAACCTTTTCTTCATGGTGCTTTTTTTTTTTTTTTACCTCGCCCAAGGTTCCATACTATCCCCTTTTCTAGGTTTTTCCACATAAATCATGTGTTCATGCGTGATTGTTTTATTATTTTACTTTTTGCTTTATTTATTGGTGTAATCTGGTCATTGGAAAATTAGTTGATTAGCTATGGCAACATTTCAAGACCTATTCACTCCCTCTTTATGTCTACTCTAGGTTTTGCATACTCCTACGTATCAGAGCATAGGGTACTAGTTCGTCCCTTCAAGGCTTCAAGCCCCTGCTAATATATTAACTCCAATCAAGGTACTATGAACATATGACAAGAAACTTCTATTTTTGTCTTGCTTGCAATGTTATGTTGCAAGCCTTAGCTAATCCAGTTAGATTTGTTTATTTATTTAGGTAAGTACACCACACAACCACATCCGATTGGGACATGAAACCTTTTGGAGTGGCTGGACATACCAGTCAAGCTAACCATTCCTGGTACTGGATACCCAATTTACATGGAAAGACAACTATATATTACTCGAAAAATATCCTCCACTTGAGAATAAAATCAGTAAATCTAACATGGTGGCTCCTATTGCAATATCTAATTTCCTTTTTCTATTTATTTTTTATTTTTTATTTCTTTTACCAGAAAGTAATGCTCTACCATGCCACCACATGCAACATCATATAGACCACATCAACAGAAAATGATCTGAATGGTTAAATGAACTCTCTTTGCATTTATATATGTACACTGAATTCAAGGGTTTTAACTCCGTTCTTTATTGTTTCCGCTACGTTATACATGCATTCTCTTTGTCCCACTACTCTATGGATCCATGATATAGTTACTTCAGCAGCATATTGTTACTGTCTTATACAAGTAAGAGACACTGTAACATAGTTGTACTCATTTTTAGTCCTTTTTGAAGATGCACAGAGCAGCGTGAGGATTAATAAGAAAAATAAGTTTATGAATTCATGGAATTAACATACAAGCAGAAGTCGGAAACTTCCATTATTCTTTTTCTTTTTCCGCTTATGCTTACTTTTTTGTTAAAGTCTTCATCCTTTGCTTAAACATGTCATGTACAATATAAGCAAAGAATCATTCACTTTGCCAAGAAAGTATATAACATAATAACAGCATGATGCATGACTGTCATCTTTGTAAAAATGCCATGTCAAGTAGCATGAGGTAGAAATCTACATAAACGCATTACCTTGGGATACTCTTTTACAAACTGAACTACCAAAATGCCGACTTAACTAAAAAACAATCCCATCACTACCCCAATACAAGTACTTCAAAATACCAGAAAGAAATTAAAATTCAGGTTCATACAAGGAGGAGAAAATCTTAATTCTCTGCTGCATGTGACTAAAAGACATGTCGACCACACAAGAACACGCATATTGACAAGATTCTCATTTCAAATGCACCCTTTTTAATCATTAAAAATTAATAAAAGAACTTCACTCACTCCTAAAAATATTATTTTGAAAAACATAGATATAGAAATTATATGATCAAATGACAGATTAAAAGAGGAGAATAAAATCATGAAGAACACCTCATTTTTGGATAGTGAAGACAGCATTGGGATAAGAATTGTAACATCCTGCAAGAAAGATAGTTCGCATAAGGACCGAAATAACAAACAGTTGGATTACAAATAGTGTACATGAAAGTTTGTTGATGGGAAAACCTTTAGTTTAGTTTCATATAAATGTTTAACAGATGCAATTAAATCAGAAGAAGGTGTTGTCCCTTCAGATAATATGTTCAGCACCTTGCAGGAAAACAAAAACCATATCAGCATATCTATTAACAGAACTATTGAGAAGAAAAAAAGTGAGAATACCCAACATTCAAACAGATATGAAGTCTGGAAAAAAGAATTTTACCTGTGTCAGAAGATTTTCACTTCCTTCTGGTGGATCAGATATTAAACAGAGAAGTTCAGAATGTGACGACCCTAGGGCCCTTATGAGAATAGGGATATGACGATGGACAGCCTGCGTTAGAAGGAATAAATCAACTAGTTCCAAAAAGAGTTGCTTTTGCTCCAAAAACATATACAAATAAATAAAAGAAAAGAGCTGAATTTGTATGAAATCTGTTCCTGGCGAAGAGTGGCTATCTTTTTACATGAAAAGCTCATGCGGCTGATCCAAGGAGTTTTTGAATTTGTCTCCACTTTTTTCTGCATTCATACTTGATGTAGAACTCATGCTTTCCCATATAAACTATATCCATTGACATTTTTTCTTTTAGAAGAGAAAGGTGAAAGTCCAAAATTTGTAGGGTTGCATAACACATGTATATAGTTCTGCCCTGGGTGTATTGGAAGACCAAACGTAAAAACCAAGCTGGTTCTCAAGGAAACAGCAACTCATTCTTACAATTTCTAAACTCAAACCAGTTAAGGTCAGGTTGTCTGGGGATGTCATGATATTTTTTTGACCTATTTAAAAAACACTTTGGATATGCAATTCAGGTTATTATTTGGAAATATTGGATGATTTAAGGGACAATTGGGTTCAAAATGGAGTGGAACAGTTGCTGAAATCTGTCCTGTTTGATGTTTCCTTCGTTACTATGAGTCTGATTTTATATATATATATATAGGTACTAGGGGTTTGTTTCGTTTCCAATAAAATTATTGCTTAGGATATTATTTTTCCCACGTGATTTTAAATCCTATAATTTAATATTTCACCATCAATCATATTTTAAAATTAAGACAAATAATTTGCGGTATCACATCCAGAGCTCATTTACATAGGTATCTAAACATCTCATTTACAGGTGCTCAGTTAAACCAATCTCAACATTTCTGTTCATGAGATGATCAATATCTATCATGAGTTTGAGAGGTTCTAAATTCTGGTAAAAAAACTATAATGTTGAAATAAATAAAGTTCTTTTCCTTCACTTTCCACTGCTTCCCACCTGACCAAACCCAGCCTTAAGGAATTTTAATCATAGGTTGCAACCATGAATTTAATAAAGGAATTAGAAAGAGACCTGCTTTACAGCCTTCGTAGCGTGTGCATAATTATCAAACACAAGTCGAAGAAGACTAGGTTTCTGTGGGGGAAAAGAAGAAGATTCAGCTGAAAGATAAGGAACAAAGGAAAATAATCTAACTACATTCTTTAAGTTATCAATAAGGGATCAAACACAGACCAACCTTTGTACATAAAGCAAAAAGCAAAGAAATGAGGCGTTGAGCTTGAGCAAATGATACTGAGGAATCAATTCGGGAATCAGATTGTGCTCCCTTCACGGAGTCATTTTCAGACGCAGGCTCTGAAATCTGAGAACCACTAATTGATGTTTCCTGGCTTCCACTCTGAAAACAATTGAAAAAAGAATAAAAAGAAAAAGAGAGATGAATAAACAGAGGATTGGAAGATTGGTTAATTTAGTAAAATTTCCACGTCAAAAATAACAGAGAATTAAAAGAACAGTAAATCACTAAATCTAGTTACCAATGTTTGAGTTTACAGGTATACATCTAAAACACGAAAGATTCGCTCATTCACAGGTTCAAAAACAAAAGTTCTACTATTGGAAAAGAGGTTGGGCTAACTTTATTACACCGACAGCCACAGAAAACACAGTTGCAAGCCCATGACCACAGTAACTAGATACTTATATTTTTATGAACTCATTTAGTTTTTTATATTTGCATTAAGAGGTAAAAGGTATTCCACTCTCGAGCCAAGGCACAATGGGTGCTCCCACATATCCATGTCTAGGTCCAAGAAAGGCACCATCATTGAGGCAACCATAGCATATTTGAGCAACGCACTATTCAAAGCTAGAGAAGCATTGCATGCATGGATCATGTCCATGAACATATATTTAGTTTACAGCAGAACACTAGCTTTCTGGGTGAAGATGAAGGAGACACCAAAAGTCTCAAAATTTTTAATTCCCATAAGTCTAACGTCGATCTGAGGTCATAGCTCACACTTGGATGCCTTCCTTAAGGAATGTGTTGCATCCGAGAGCATAAATGAAAGTCAGAACTGAAACTGGGACTTGAAAATGTTTCACCTTTTCCAATATAAATCTTTTGAATTAGCACATTCCAGAAGTCTACTGGGCTCAATTTTATGCTTAATATTACCTCAATGAGGGAATTTTTGCAATTAACAGGCAACGCAAATATTTAAATAAATGTGAACAAAAAAGTACGAAAATACACAAACTGCACAAACCATATGCATGATATACGATGCTATAATAATAAGATGCAATCTCAATGAAATTTCGAGATTGACATTGTATGGAACTTATACATAAATGCATAAATAAAGCACCGAGTCCCATGAACTTATATACTCTACTGTGAATAAAACGCTTAAGCAGCTGGCGAAAAGAGTCTACCAATGATGAAAACAGAGACCTAGATTACAGCTTCTAATGAAAAGGCACTGGCCCCAATACCACCATAAAAACAACCACTTACATGGAAGAGATCCACAATCTTGATGATGCACTTCAAAATCACACAGCTAAAATGTAAAAAGAATGATTTTGTACTAACAAACCCATCACACCATCAAATGCACATAAAACATTAGCATTTCATTCATAACAGAACTACATAGTCACTTATCAAAAATAAATAAATAAATAACAGAAGTACATAAACAAGGGGAATTTTGGAGTTACTTAGTTCGACAGCTCCAACAAAGAGGAGAGTCTGAAGACACAACCTACGTGAGGCCTAGGCATGGGTGTCTCTTCAATATTCCTAACTTAAGGCAAGGTCTTATATATTGAATGATCACCTCACTCTAGAATCCCACTATTTTTCTGGTGAAGTACGATTTTAATACTGCCTCAAAGCAATATTAAACGAATCATCATCCTTCACTTGAAACAACAAGCATCATGGACAAGAAAAGAATCACTGGCAAGCTATAAATTATTGAAACACAATAGCTCAATAATGAACCTGAAACCTTGCAATGTACTATGCACACAAACAAACTAATAAAACCTAACCACAATTTACCTATGACCTCATTCGGATCTGTTTCTGGCTCAGTGCAGGTGCAATTAGCAATTTACGTAGGTTGCATATCCCAACCACTATCAATGACCCATATTATTCAGTGGTAAACATAGAACCTAGCCATCAGGTAACAAATGAAATTTCAGAAGAAAACTCCAGGTACAAAAAATGCCAATGCATCCTCGCTCAAAACAAATAAGTCCCACTTAGAAAGTTTGGGGCCAAAGTAAACCATTATCCGATCCCAATTATACATGGAATCAACATTTGGCTGGTCACATGCTGCGAACCACACAAAGATGCAGTGAATTGGGTGCTTACAAAGGTCATCAAATAAATAGTTATTGTTCATGTAAGCCTGAGCACCATAAGACCAATAGGAACTAGGAAGTGATGGAAAACAACTTGCATAAGTTCAAGATTAGAGCGGTGATTGAGTAGGCTATCAATTATCCTATCAGTTAATTAATGGATACCATATGTCAAAAGGAGCAAGGAAATCCAAGCAAGCAGCAACAATCCATCAATCAGTATATCATTTTACATTTGGTTGTCAGTTGCAAAACAAAGATGCAATGAAGCTGACACCGAATGTGTGCAACCATAACCTTAGGATCCTAATGTTGAACTTGAACCTATATAATTTTTTTTCCCCTAGTTAATTTGAACCTATATAATTAGTTGAAAATTCTATTGCATTCTAACTGTGTCATGGTCTGCAATCTTAACTTTACTAACAAATTTCATGCATCCTATAGATTCAAAGGAACAAGTAATTGCTGAAACTGTCCTAACAGTCATACCTGGATTCAATTAAAAGAAGGGGAAAAAAATTCAAATAAACTCCTAAATGCAAGAAGATCTTCTAAAATATAGATAAAAGAAGGCTGAATTAAGTAAAGAGATGAAAAAGAGAGAGAGAGAGAGAGCTAAATGTAAAGCACTGCTACACTTAATAAAGAGCACAACTAAACACCCAATAAACTCCTAAACTCGAGAACACCAAGACAGCCGATGCCGCTAAACAAACACTACCATCTGTACAGAGCCTCCAATCCTCGACACACTATTATCTCCAAGTACTCAAGAACACTGCTACGGCCAAACTTTCACACATCAGATGGCTTTTGGTTCAGCATCCAAAGAGAAAAAATGCAAAATGGGGGAAATAATGAAGATGAAGGGAAAAAGATGCAAGAAATATATATTACGTACTTCTCCTTCTGTTCTTTGTTCAATAGACCCAGGTTGAGAAAGTTCCAGATCCGAAACACGCTGATCAACAGCTGACAGGAACATATTTGTAGCAAATTTCTCTATACTTTCTGCGATGTAGCTAAGTACATAGAGTTTGTTTGCCACCTGTCCAACATATAGAAACACAGGTTTAAAAAAAAAAGAAAAAAGAAAAAAAAAGAAGGTACTATCATGCTTTAGTAACAATCTATGATTTTCCCATATAATAACTAATTATTTGTTTCAATTGGGAATCCAGTCAACAGTTAGAGAATTCCTATCAAAGCCAAAAACAATGAGTTGCAAGTTCACATACCAGCCGGATAGCTTTAGCGCGAATGTCATCATCTGAATGGACAGCACACTGCCATCACAAAACACATCAATAAGAAACAAATGCAATGTCACAATGATCAAGATACACATAAATCCACAAATGGAAGCATCCAAATTTTTTCAACATTTCCACTTTGAACAAAATTATTGATTAACACATGATTACAAATCTCAGTCTAGTAACAATACAAGTAGACCCTGGAACACGCTCTATATCAGCAATATAATTTGTTTTTGTAAAAAATAATAATGCTATTATACATAGTGATGCAGAGCAAGTGGAAGAGGACTATCTTCAAATACTTGAACATCCTAAGAAGACTAGACTAAGTTTCTATTAATAGGAGCAGCTGATGATGTGATCAGATTGTGTGATTGTTTATGGGTCTTGAGTCATTTATATAAGTTTTAAATCTGTCTTTATTTCAAGTTTAGGATATTATTGTCATTCTGATTTTATTTTATAAGTCATGTGCCTTTTAATTGAGTCATATGACCATTTAAGGATTGTTTTGTCATTTTTTAGCTCTTTGTTCTGCCCGACAGAATACTAGCCTTTAGATTAAATTTATGCAAAGGGCTAGGATTAAATCTTTGCTAGGGCATCCCTTGTGTCTTACAAAAGGGTTGTTACAAGTTACAACCAGCAGTTTTTGACGAAAATATATCCATCCTGCTACTGCAGCTTTTTACCACTCCCTTTCTTTTGGGATTGAGTTGTGGGTGTTGAAGCTATTTTTTTAGCTTGAACTAGCTCTCTGTTTTCCCTTCTTACTGATTTTATTTTTCTTTCGTAAGCTGATTGCATTACATAGAAATAAGGTAATTACAGTAATAGGGAGTGGAAACATGTTCAAAAAACACTGGAACTGTAGAATAGGCAAAACATGTTCACAAGGCTAGTGCACTATTCCATCAAAGAGCTTCTTCCCTTTTTTAACATTATTTCACTCTCACTACAACATTTACTGGGATCCACAACTTTTTCTTGCTTTCCTGTTTTAAGGACTGATGTGAAAAGCTTGACTGAGCCATTCCAATCACTCCAACAAGGGCACAATCGAAGTTAGCATAGCATAAAGAAGCACTGGAGTGTTTGAGCTCCACTGCCAAACTTGGGATCCCTTCACAATCATCTTGAGCTACAGAAAAATAAGTAAAAGAAAGAAAAAGCATGTTACTCTGCTTAAATTTTAACCAAACTTGGCTTGGCTTGAACAATAACCATGGGTCTAAATATTAGTGAGATCATCCAAGATTTTATGAAATTTCTGGGACATCAGCGCTATAATTGAAAATGACTTGAAGGAAATAAGAAAATACACACACACAGACACACATGAATGAAGAATTAAAAAAAAAAAAAAAAAAAAAAGAGAAATAAAAGCAATCTAGATTGAATAGAAGATCATCCGTTTCACTCTCATCTCACTGCAACCGCATTTTCCCCTTCTCTTACAACCAGTTTCTGAAAATGGGCCTCATTTTCACTCTATTTCTTTGGGTTAAGAGCCACATCTTATTTCCTGTTTCCAGATATGGCCAATGCTTTTCTCTAATAGCATCCACGAAAGTATGTAACTGGATTCCCTTTTTTATAATAATAATAATTCAAAAAAAAATTGTGTGAAGGCACTCGGAAGAAATCTTTTCGTTCCTCAAACTCCTATACTGGTCCAACCCTAAGACATATGCTTAGAAACCTATGAAGCTCTCCTTTAGTTACTGATGTGCTTGCGCAAGCTTGTGATCGAGCCAAAGACAAGCTGCTCATCAATGGCTTAAATAATTTGCATTCCTATTCATAGACCAAATGCCTGTTAACTAGATACCAGAACAAGCACTATGTTGGCAGTAACACTAACACCATCATTCTGGTAAGTCAGAATAACATACTGTTCATGTAAGCGTAAGCCTATATAAATGGCCCACACATAAAAAAGAGAAACATGACAAGTAAAAAACTATCTAGAACAAAAGGGAATTCAGAGCATATTTATATGAAATAACCAGGCCATCAAATTCTCATGACCACGTTACCTTTAAAGCAATATCCAAACAGGCTTGCCGATTAAGAGGACGCCCCAAGATCAAGCTCCACACGGCACCAAGGCCCTGAGTGACACGATCACCATCCCGAACATCTTTTGCACAGTGAATATCAGAACAGCATACATCATCCAGCAGTTTCAGAGCAGAATCAGGCAAAAAAGGCACTTCACCAAGAAGACGACTAAAGGCTTTGTCAGTTGCTGGTAAATTATGCAGCAAAGATTTTGCCTACAAAAGAAGATTGTATATATATCAGTCTCATACCAATATGAATATACATATTTACCAGCTAAAAGAGTTCTTACCACTCCCAGTAGAAACTTTTCATATACATCAGCAGCAGATGATGAGTGATCAACTGAATCTGAGATAATCAGAGTGTGCAGGTGGTACAGAACATGCATTACAAGCTCGTGCCCCTGACAGAAGAGGAAACCCAATTTAAAAAATAAATTGCAACATTTTCATAAAGCAATTAATTAATAAAGGAAACGTAAAGTAGACCCCTAAAATATTTTTAGAACTTCAACTTGTAAAATTAAAACAACTCCAGAACCTAATCTGTCCCAAAACTTAATTTCAAAGGAGAACTTCAAACTGAGTATTTATTGAATTATGTACTAAGTGGCAAAACAACAAACAAGAAAAGAATCCCAAAGACACTATGAATGTAAGAGATAGGGCCTTATTAGGGTAGAGAAGCAGACATCAAACACAAAATTAAGTTATGTATGACTGTTCATTAGAAACCATGAGAGCAGATTGTAACAACTATCAATCCCCTACCTCAAAAACCATAGGAATGCATAGTCTATCAAATCCAAAACCCATTTTGGAACTGTTGAGCAACTACTAACAGTTAAAACAAATGACCAGAAACGATAACAGTCCTAACCATCCAGTCATATTTGTTCCCATAGGCTTATCGACAAGATTAAGCCCATTGAACATCTAACTCCACTGTCTTTTCAGTATGAAAATCACATATTAAGAAAAAAAAAAATGCATCTGTTGCAAGCTTCATGAAAATTCGCTACATTCAACTTAGAAGACCAAAAAGGAAAAATTCTAAGCATTATTGTCATATAGAATAAAGAGAACTGAAGAAGATTAAAACGCGTTAAGGCATTTTTTGAGACATTTCAACTTTCATGTGAATAACCCCATTCGTCTGTGATTAAGGCAAGGATGATGATGATTTACTTTTAGTGTTTACACAGGGTATAGTTGTAATGGGCCGGCCGCTTGCCCTCTGACCCAAAAACTTAAGCTTCTAGGTAGTGCTACAAACCCACCCGTATAAGCTCATAACCTTCCCCATGCAGATCCGATGTGGGACAACAACGTCTAACATTCTCCTCCACCCGAACTCGCAATGCCCTCATTGCGGTTGGACCACCCTGCCTACTCGCCCGGACACCTTCTGGGCAGGCACTAGGCATGACACTAGATTAACAACCGGGTCTGGTTCTGATACCACGTGTAATGGGATGGGCACTTGCCCTCTAACCCAAAAGCTTAAGTTGTTGGGTAGTGCTGTATATACACCTATACAAGCCCATGACCTTCCCCATCCGGATCCAAAGCGGGACAAGTACCTCTAACAATAGTCCAGAAGCTGTACACTGTAAGCAATAGTCTCACTATAATAACGACCAAATCATACACTTTGTCAACTCATTCATTACAATACTACATAAATGATAAAACCAAATCATCAAGACAAAAAAGGATGCAGAAAGAAGCAAATATTGATTTCAGATTCAGAAAACTAACATAACTCACATTCAGTTTACAAACTACATGCAAATTACCCGAGAATAAACTAGAGGATGTTAACAAAGTGTCTCATGTATAAAATCAATAGCCCCTAACTGCAAACATTGTCGTATAAAGTTGTCGCAAGCGTCGAGAAGCAGATATACCTTCTGGTGTTGGTAATCGGAAACTATATGTTCTTGCATGATCAACACCAAGTCATCATCAGCATCAATCTGCAAGAAAAAGATAAATATATAGAGTTATGCAATTGACATTTTTTTCAGACAGTATTAAACAATGCAATGCTATCTTGGGCTACAAATACTATTGAAAAGCTAATAAAATATACAGTACATGTATTTATGAAATATATATATATACAGCACGTGCTTGGTGATGTGTTCATGAAATACTCCATAGGCAATGACTTGAAAATCACATAGATTGAAGCAAAATTTAAGGCCTACACCAAAATCACATATATGTTGCCAGTACATTAGCAAAGTTAAACATTTAATGATATGACAAGTTACATAGTTCGTGGATTAGTAACCAAAGGGAGAACCCCAAGCCAGGTGACTTGTCAATATCATAAAATTAATCAACTCGCCTAACTAGTGCCTTCAACTAAGATCTCAATCTTAACAAAAATATTAACACGAAGATGTTACTCGTGAGATTTTAGGTTCCAAGTATTATTTGTAGAACAGAAATACACTTCAGAAAGTTCTAAATCTTAGAAAGTCCGCATGGATTGTAAAACTAATTGCAAAACAGCAATAAACTTCAAGTTTGAAATCCTAGACAGTCAGCATGTTTGTCAAACAGACAGGATGAAATAGTCACAACACAAGAACCATGATATTGAAAATCTAAATGGAATTCAGGAGGTGAAAAGATAATCTTCAGTGTATAATTTTTAACCACGTAACATATGGAAAGGGTGGCATTTACCAACATTGCAAACCCAAGTGATATAACCGAGACTGAGAGAGAAGAACAAAACACTTTCTGAAATAATCAATAAATATCTTTTAAACTAGAAACTAAATAGTGTAAAGTGGGCAGATACATCAAACATGTTACCTTCAGCGGTGAACACATTAACTCAATTTAGGACATTCATTTAACATAAACCAGATAGACTTATTCTTTTTTTTCTTCCCCCCCTTCTATTGTTACGAGAATACCCAGAGAAAGCGGGTAGAGTATGGTTCAAACAAAAATTGTAACATTTGTTACCAACTTAGAACAGTAAATCCAGGTTCCTGGTCACGGGGAGGCTCCTGCTTGAAGGGCATTGCCAATTTTTATAATATGAATGAGAGATGGTAAAACATTATCAAAACACAGAGCGGCTGAAGAATATAAATCCTGCTCAAAAGTGCTATAGTTCCACTTAGTATGGACTTGATATAAATAGGACCAAGGTACACAAACGTCTAGTTTTTAATCGAATCAAGACGTATCCAGAAGCAACCAAACTCCATAGAGATTTTAATCTAGTAAAATAGACTCCGATAAATTCTGTGGTTCAATCATTAGAAAATTCTATCATGATACTAGTTACTACTGCTCCACACCAAGAACAGATCAAGGATTACGTGTGCAAGATATTATAAGATTTGAAATCTGTGATACTAAGAGGCCATTATCAGTAATAGTCCCATTAAGAGGGTTCTGACTTCTGGGGAGGGACGGATCGAGTAGAAACTTAACTTTTTACATTATAAACCTAAAATGGTTTTTTCATACTAGAACCTACATTCTCATGCTGGAAAACTCAAATTTTACCAATGCACCAAGTAATGGCTTGAATGGTATCAAGCCTCTCATCTACAACTGTTGAATTTTATACTTATTTGGTGGGCAATTATTCATCAATATATGCATATGAAAGTCAACACACTAGCTTTTCTATCAGATTGATCTGAAACTCATCTAATAAACATATAGACTGATGTAAGAGACCATGATTCTACCATTACCAGATCGGGATATGTTCAGAACCAACAAAACTCCAACCAAATTTTAGACTAGTAAATTAGATTACAAAAACTTGTCATTCCATCATGATAATATAGTTCCAGAACATTGCCAACACAAGGTTTAAATGTGCAGAATTAATAGTAAACATATATCATAAAATATGAAATTTATGCCATCATCTACCATTGATAAAAAAAATTCCTTTCTTTTGAGTAGTTATTCATCAAGATATAAACAAGAATATCAACAAACTTTCATATGCTAATGAGATTGATGTGGAATTCATTTAACAAGCAAGCAGGCTGATTTAGTGAGACCCTAATTTTACATTTTTGCTAGATCAGGTTGGACAAGGCACCTCATAACAAAATCTCAGCTGCCGATGATACAGCTGGATGTGAAAAGAAGAATTTAAATGATTTTCCTGAAACAATTGAATTATCAGACTCCAATAACACCAAGACAAAGCCTTTTATTCAAGGTTATTGACTCTTCATTACTAAGTTACAATTAACAGTTGGTCAAGCGGAATCATCTCAACAATGTTTCTAACCATGCAAACAGTGTCTACATCTCCCCTCAACCAGGGTTGGACCCAGGAATTTCAACCTGGAAGGCCATGCTAGTGGAAGGGAATGAAGAGTGCAAATTTAAGCCATCACAAATCTAAGCTTAGATGAATTGAAAGCTTATGGAAGGGATGACAAATATAATATACATTCCCTTCCTCTTCTCGCTTCTCTGATTTCCGCCCAGTTTTCTATAAGCTTCAATTCATCTAAAAGCTATCACAAATCTCATTTCTGTTATTGCAAATACTAGAGCTTATTTACAATCATGGATCAAGGTACCCAGTCCCAACTTATCACAAACAAAGCAGAATGGTTACCATGCCCTTTAGCAATGTTGAAATGGAACTTGTAAAAGATTTCAAAGAAAAAGAACAGTAAAAGACATAAATGAACTAAGGAACTCAATACTATCGAACCTTCAAATATCTCAAAACTCTTATACAGCTTATTTGAAGGGAAAAAAAAGTCCTGACCTCTCTTTCACACCCAGTATCCTCCACTGCAATAGGTGTAAAGAGAGTTGACCATCAACAATCCAATCATAACATATTTTGTTCAAATCACAGTCATCTCCATTCCACAAATTAACATATATCCCAATAATAGACATATCTATATATATACACACAAATCTTGTTTCACTGTTGGTTTTAAACAGTCACAGAATAAAAACAGAAAAAAAATTTCAAATGTCACAAAATTTAATAATTGAGATTTTCAGTGCATGCAGTTCCTTTGATTGATAATAATTTTATTCTTACTCGCCTATGCATGCAAGAGGGTGGCTAAAAGAGGCATCAAATGGAGAAGCTGGAAAGAGTGGAAATGATGCAAGAGTCACTCAGAAAGGAAAACAAGGGAAAAATCAAGTGACCATCGCTCATAAATTGTTACTAGATTGAATGGAGAGGGAGAAAACACCTACACAATGGGATTTTGTCTAAATTTGCTTTAGATGGACCAACTATTTTCCCAATCTAATGCAAAATAACAACTGTCCACCTCCTCTGGTGCTTCTAATGGTAAATTTTAATAATGTTTGATATACAGTATCATATTTCTTGTTCATTGGAATATTAGCAGGTTCTGGCTCTCACCCTTTAACTAGATTATAAATTATAAAGAGAGAGAAGGGGGAGCACATGAGCTCCAGGTTACCGTTTTGCATAATCTTTGCTGCGAATGAGCTAAGAAAGAGGCATCATAACCATAGAATTCCATCCCAAACTAAGAAGCATGGATATTGACACAAGCACATTGACACGGAAAATTTCAAGTAGGACTGTGTCAAGGCTAGGTCACAACAGTAAAAATTAGAAATTATATTATATATTAAAAATACATTCTTATGAAAATAATGTGAAATTTATAACTCCTATATCATATAATAATAATCATCCTTGTCGTATATAGAAAGAGATAACAAGTATATGACATATATTTGAGTGTGTGTATGTGCATGCATATTGATGTTTATATTTATTTATAACTAAAAATAATTTGATGACTACTCTCCTACTCCCATGCCCCATCCTTAAATAAAACCATTTATATCTTTCATTTATTAAATAGGGTCAAACTTTGTAAATAAATTATATAGAACTTTATTTGGTTTTTCTTACAATTATACTTCTCCATGTCAAAAGAAAGTTTTATCTAACATTTAAGATTCATTTGTCACATATTAGCATAATCAAAGATCAAAGAAGTATATGTGTCTTAAGATTTTTGTTTTAAATTACAGATATGTTTGCGTTAGACACGTGTCTGAAAGTATCTGAGAAGTGTTGGTGTCCAACACAGATATGACTCCTAAAATTCCCACATACAAGTTCCTAGAGTTTTCTTTAAGCATCTATTTATATCCTGCCTAATTAAACCAGTTGAATGTGATGATTTGCTTTCCTGTTCAACGAGCAAGTAAACACATTGCTAAAGGAATTCCTTCCCTTCAACTTCTCTTTTGTCATTTGTTTCACTTTGGTAATAATATAAAATTAAACTCTCAATGGAAACATAGCTAAACTACTTGGGGAACACATAATACACACTTGAGCTACATCACCTAAATCATAAATGTAGTATTTCCTCAAGATATTTATAACATTTGTTAATCCTTTAAATATTTCATGCTCTCATTTGAAAGTTAATTCCAAAGGAATCCTCATAAGTCAAAACTTTTAATCTTCAAAATATGAACAGATAATGTAGTGCTTTAGTTACTCCGACTGATGGATGCGTAGCTCACCTATTCCTAGAATTTGAAAGCATTCAATCCTGAAAAAGACCTTCTTGTTCTTTGGAAGATCTATCTCATGATTATCATTTGCACCTAAAAGAATTGGTTGGTTTGCCATACAATTTTTTCTTTTTACATCTCATTACATTAATGAAACCCCAATATGATGTACTGGAACAAGAAACATCCCACAAGGACAACAAACAACTTTCCACAATGATATGTTATCAGTCACTCAATTAATAATTGCACAGCATAGATCTACTACTGCTCACTGATAGCAAAAATAAAAGCAAAGAAATGGATTCTTTCACAGAAATCAATGGTGCATGTTCAAAATCTTCATGATATGGTTCATTAAATCTCATACTTGTACACTGTCAATCAACACTTCATTTAATTATATTGTTCCACATCTCATAGTTCATAATTAAGAACAAATGTAAATATCCCCAAAAGAAATGAAAAATAAAAACAAAAGTAAACTCGACAAAGAGAGAACCAATCAAGAGACAAGTCGACCCCACCTGAGCAACCAATCGAGCAAGCAATGCCATTCGTGTCTGGCTACACTCTGTCCACTGTAAATGACTGTATGACTCAATAATCCGTTGAAGTGCCAATTTTCTCACATTTCTTTTCTGATCTTCTGTCAGCTCAACATACAGCGGAAGTACGGGTAAATCAGGAGAGGCTTCTTCAGAGACAGACGTATTTGAAATGGCTGGAGAAAGCTGATCGGCTTCTAGCTGAGACAATGTATGAGTCTGGTCTGTCATTGCAAAATCTGATGACAATGGTGCAACAGAATCCTCATCAACTTTGCAAACAGGAGAAAGTGCAAGATCTAAATCAGCATTGACTTCTGGAACAGGGTCAATTTCCACGGCTTCATCATCCAGAACCTCATCTTTGGAGGCTGGTTGATCAATTTCAGAAACCACTGAACTACCTAAAATCTTCAAGTCAGTTTCTATTTTGGGCATCAAAGGCGCTGACGTATTTTCAACATTTGTTACTACAGGTTGTGCAAGTGGCTTATTCAAAAGAATATTAGCATCACACTCCGATTGCATAGCACCAGAGTGTGTAGCATTAATATCCTCCACGATAGATATTGGTGGCACTCCAACAGGTGCTGCAGCACGACGTGGGTCAAGGCGTCGGGGATCCTGGAAAAGTTACTAGTTGTTTACATTGAACAAATAGTAAATCAATTGCCAAAAGAAACTGAAGAGCACTTTAAGTCAACGTCCTAAATTTATAATACAGTAATGTATTGAAATAACTTCAAAGTAACAACGAAGGGACACAAAAAAGACAATTAAATAAAAACTGATCAAGTTTACCCTTCGTGGATCTCGTTTTGAATCAGCAGGGAGATTTACAGAAGCAGAAGTGTCAACCAATGATGCACTGATTTTATTGGATGAAGTTAAAGGTACTTGTGCTGTAAGAACTGGAGACTGCACAGAACTAGTAGGACCAATTGATGTCACAACCTGGGTTGGATCACTTGATGAACCACTTTCTCGAGCTACTGGAAGGCTACCAAGTCTTGTCAAAGGTGGGGTTTTTTGTGGCAAATGCTTCATATTGGTTATGACAATATCAGCCAACAAATCAGGATGGATTTGAGATATCAGAATTTCAAGTGATTCAGCACCTCTTTCTCCTTCTGCAATTAGAGCACCAATCATTGCAATCATTTGTTCAACAGGACTTAAATCACTATCTAACAAAGGAACCTTGGGGGATACTCCATTAACAGGGACATCCAGTCCGGAATCAGTTATTTGAACTGGTGAAACAGAGTTGCTGTCAGGGCCATAACGGATTCTTTTTGAAGCAACATCATGACTATAACTTGGCTCTTCAGTATCCAGAGGCAAAGATCTTTTTTTTATCAGATCCCCTGATATAGGCAACAGGCTTGGTGGCACATCTTCCTGAAATACAGATCAGAATAAGCAAGTCAATGACAGTTGAATAAATAGAATTAGCACCCACAGGATTAATTTAGCGACTCAATTCCAGAGAATAAATAAGAGAAACTTTGTGGACTCCACCACCCAAAGTAAATTACCTTGCTTAACCGTGCATCACGAGAAGCACGCTCATTATTCTTCATCATTTTATCAACTTGCCGGATAACTTGGTCTGCCGCATCCCCAGCATTCATCGCTCGCAGAGCCCTAAGCAATCTATCTCTTGACTGAAGATAAAACAAAAAAGCACCTTGTCAGCCACAAGTTTAGACAAGGTGAAGATGCAGTAATCTACTGCATGGCTTTGTTTTGAATGTAATGCCCTAACAATTTCTTTCTAGCTTCTACATAGCACGCGCCACCTTGAAAAGGTGTACAAATGTGTCTTTGGTCCCTGGTACTTCCTTTTTCTTTTCTTCTTCTTATTCTTCTTCTTTTTTTTTTTTTACTTTTTCTTTTTTTTTGGTGATATTGCAACTAAAATTGACCCCACCCATCCAACTTAGCTGTGATGATTACATTGTAAACGTATGATACACAGGCTTTTGCCTTTGTTGTTTCTTTTTAGTGTAACCAAACGACTATATTATTATTCAATTTTTTTTCCTTTTTTGGGGTGGTGGGGGAGGAGGAAGATCCAACCAACACAAGGTTAGATTGCAAAATTGAATTTCAACGAGCAGATGACATTTGAGTCTAAAACTAAATAAAGAGAAAAGTACAATATATAAATCACTGCAAATGTAACTTTTATCAGATTTTTAGTATGATTTATTCTAATCACCGGAAACCAGAATCACTAATTTATAGGACTGAACTGAATAAAGGGAATATTTGAAAGACACCGAGATCCACCAGTTGAATAAAAAGCTTATGCGGCCCAGAAACAAATGAACAAGTAATTTTGCAATAGATGGCCATGTGATGTCAAAAAAGACAAATCAACATTTCTCAAACAGAACACTTAACCCACATAAACAAACTCATTTCTAACAAGCATGGCAAACGTACTTGTGAGTATCAGACTAACAACAGTCCAAGCCAGTTTGGAGTCCAAAAGTCATTCAAGAACCAATAGATATAAAAGCCGAAAATACAATTTGTGCAATGGATTTTTCAAATTTATAGAGTTCAATAAAAAGTACCTCTACAATAGCTGGATAGGTACATCTTAGGAATCCCAAAAAGGCAGTTCTTAAAGAATACTGAATACTGGCAGTATGAATTCCCTTTGTCATCTCAAAGTTCGGATCAAAATCAAGCAATGCAGAGAGAATAGAACTGTAGTAGAGTGGCCTCTTCCTCGCTATGGCAGCAAGACTGTTAAGAAAAGTTAAATTGTTAAATAATATATACTCAACCGGGAGCATAATAAACTAATAGTACAAGAAGACCAGAAGCTAAGAGCTCAATGGCAACACAAATATAGAGAAATAGATTCAGATCAAACACCCAAAAATCAAAATTAACATAAACAGCAGCAAGGCTGCCCATTTCACCAAATGTGTAAAATCTTAACTTAGTTCTAACTATTCTGAGAACTACAAAACCTAGAGCAGCGATAAAATCCATCCTGTGACAACTGGAAGTTCCTTTGATATTTATTCTCTTTCAATAGAATCTTTTTAAGACTATCATATTTAAAACTTGCTAAAAGATACAATGACACAGGTCTCAATGGAAACAGAAGACAGGGTGTTCTGCAAGACAACCTCAAAAAACGAATCATAACAAGGGAATAAACAACTCAATTAGCCTAAAGCATGAGGTGACAATGATTTAAAATCACCTGTGCATCTTACCCTCCCACTTTTAGTTTAACTAGAATTCACCTCGACTTTTAACAAGTTCCTTTTTAATAACTCCCATCCCAGGTAACCATTAACGATTCAGGATTGGAAGCCTAAGTTATGGCAGAACACTTCATCCAAAGAAACAACTCAACTAGCCTGAACTGGAATAAGATTTAAAATATTATTACACTAATATCTCACACAAAACTATATATTTGAGAGAGCCCCTCCTATAACAGGTCCTAAGTCATCTTTTACAAAAAAAATTAAAAAATAAATAAAAAACCACATAAATTCTTCTGCTAGCAAACAAATGCTTCTAAAAGATAAGAGACCTTATTAAGTTCAAAGCATTTATCAAGATAAAGCTACATAGGTGATTCCACCGACAACGCAAGACTTCGTCATACAAAGATTGCAAGGATACCACACGACAAAAGCTTTATCGTCAAAATGGTTTCAAGGAGATAGAAAAGTGTATAGAAGAAGTTGGTAAAAGACTGAATCGCAATAGCATTTAAACTTCTACGAATTGAGGAGAGAAGAACCACAGGCTAGAAGAACGTAAGCTGCAACTGTAGCATTAACCAAAGACCTGACAGGACTCAAAGAAAGATGGACAAGTTTCCAACCAAAAAAAAAAAAAAACAAGTGAAAACAAAGAAAGGAAATAAGGAATCACTAAGTAATATATTACAAATACAATTCCTTCAACAAATAAGCTAGGGGTCAAACTAAATAATATATTACCTAATGAATACAATTCCTTCAACAAATAAGCTAGCCTAATTGTGGTCGAACTAAATAAAATATTACCTAATGAAAACAATTCCTTCAACATATAAGCTAGCCTAATTGTGGTCAAACTAAAAAATAATATATTAGCTTAAAGGATAAAATTCCTTCAACAAATCAGCTAGCCTAATTGTGGTCGAACTAAATAATTTATTTCCTAATGAATACAATTCCTAGAAACATCTAAGCTCGCCTAATTGTGGTTGAACTAAAAAATAATATATTACTTTAATGGATACAATTCCTTCAACAAATCAGCTCGTCTAATTGTGATTAAACTGAATAATATATTATCTTAATGAATACCATTCCTTCAAAAAATCACTTAGCCTAATTGTGGTCGAAAATAATATATTACCTTAATGAAAACCATTCCTTTAACAAATCGACTAGCCAAATTGTGGCCAGACTAAATAATATATTACCTTAATGAATACCATTCTTTCAACAAATCAGGTAGCCTAATTTTGGTCGAACTAAATTATATATTACCGTAATAATACCATTCCTCCAATATTTCAAAATTTTATATGCAGAATCTGTTCTGCATTTCTGTTTCTATTTTTTTCTCTCCTTCTCTCCTTTTTTTCAACTTGTGCCTCGCTTCAGTCAGGCCCGCGTCTTGGGCCAGGAGACCTTGGCACCTTAGCGTGCCTTGGGCCTTTAACAACTATGATATATAGATATGGCAAGATTATAAGAATGCCTTAACCACTCAACAGAATTACAATAAGGCCCAAACTCTCTAACAGGGAGGAAGGTGGAGGATGTCCCATGGCATCATAATGAGATGGATGGCAGACGGAGGAGCAGAAGCAGGCTTCAATCGTGTAAACATTAAACAGTGCCCCACCATAACATCATAGGACACCAAAAATCCATTGTGTCAGTGAGATGTTGAGGGAGGCTGTGCATCCTCAAAGGTTTTCCAAATCTATGTTACCTGGACTCGGATACATTGATCGGGCATAGGTGTGTTTCCAGGCGTCCGACATATCAAATTCCCAAACACAAGGACACATGGACACTGCAAAATATTTATATTCTATAATATTTAAAAACTTCTTTATGTTACATAGTGTTTAATATAGGTATTTAACTCATTTTGAGGCAATAATATAACAAAATTGAATCATTGGATATGCTTTTTAGGTACATGTCAAACCAACTGTGTCGGACAAAGCCTCATACCCATGTCAGAGACTTTGACTATAGTTTGCCTGACACTGATCCTACAACTACATTTGAAGAGTCCATGTAACAAAGCTCCAAATCACCAAGAATGGTTTGACTTTTGAAAGAAGGGTATATGAGCTTAAAAAGACATACAAACAAGCAATTACCACAATTGTAAGAACACCTGCATCACTATAACTAGTAATGCCATTTTCAATAGTCCACAACCACCACCTCTGTTGCCACATCAACACAACCACCAGTGGCATAATGCCACCATTGCTGCCAAAGCCGCCAGTTTTGTCAACATGTAACCACCACCATATCCTTCAACCAATCCTCACCAACTCCAATAAGCTTTTCATTGAAACCATCAATATCATATATTTCATCATTGACATAAACTTCTACAGTGGTTTTCACCATTGCCATAACCACTTCCACCATTTTCAGTAATAAGTAACCACCATTTTTAGCTACCTGTAACCACCAGCATTCCTCAACCAACATATCCTTAGGCACAAACAATCAAACAGTATTTAATAATAAACCCCGGTGCCACCGCCTATGAGAACATGCTAAGCAGAAACCAGCACCACACCACTATAGTGTTGCTGCAGTCCGCCCCACCACTATTAGGCAAAAAGATCACTGACTACCACCATGATCCTATCACCACCTTCAATAATAATTCAATTTTGTAGCAACCACTACATCCTCACTTTTTGTATCCAAAAACATCACTATTTTCCAAATCCCATCCCAACCAAGGATCAAATTATCACACAAATCCAATATTGACACTAAATTCTTAAAAATAATATATTAAAAAAAAAAAAGGACCATTTGTTATTTCTGGTAGGAAATGCACTCTAATAAGAAAGATTAAAGATTGATTGAGACAGTTTAGCAGTACACAAAATAGCCATGATGCATTCCAAAACAGGTCCACAATGCATGTTGGTACATGTACTTCATTAAAATTTTGCTATACCTACACAAAATATCTTACATGTATTTTTTGCTCATTCTATTTCTCTGTTATAGACAAAAAAAAGAATATGCACTCCCGCTCTCCAATTGCGTTGACTTCTGCACCAAGATATCAGTTCGAGACAATATCTTGTATAGTTGCATTTTGAATTAAAACGCACAATAAATATAATAACTGCATGGAAGGATTTCTTTTTCATTTAAGAACTCTTAACAATTGTATTCTTGTCCATCCATGAGTAGCAAAACATAAGTGCAAGGACAATCTAAGGGATGATGAAACCCAAAGGACTAAAGGCATTACAATACCAACATCAAAATCAAAGACATCAATTGCACTACACATGACCGAAGACAATAGAGATGAAAACAAAGAGTGCAAAGAGTTTAAAGGTGGATGAGTAAACAGCTATTCTTCCATTGCCAAAAAAACAATTGCTACATATGGCTCCTTACCTCTCACCCCCACCACAAACTAGAAAATCAATGGCAAGAACTTTGCCCATGACAGTTATCCGCGAAAAAACACCACTATAAATATAGTGAAGGATGCAACTCAATTGCCGATAAGCAAAAGGAATGATTTCATTGTAAAATTTCAGTTCATATCCAAATCCTTTATCACCTCTAGTCTCTTCCCACAGCAGGTATCCTCTCCTCAAACTTACCTTAAAAAACACTCTTCTTTCTGAAAGTAGCCACCATTTCTTTCATATCATTGTTAAAACCATTATCAACAATCTATTTAATGATGTCCCACTTGGAGAAAAAAGGATTCCCACTACTTATAATTCCCACAAATTATGTTGCACATTTGATGCACAACTCTTGTGATCTAACATATGCACTTCTGATGTAGTCAATGAGAACAAATTTGAGTATATCAGCACATATTCCATGAATATCCAAATCTATTGCTCAATGAAATTTTACTAAACAATATATACACAAATGTATTGTGCATGTGTTTGTGGCTTAATCTTAAACTTCGAAATCTATCGAGATTGTATCCTAAAAATTGCGAGTAAAACTCATAATCATCAAAATTGCAACTTGCATCCTACTATCCAAAATTATTAAATCAATCAAGAGCATAGGAAAAATCACATGGGTAGGATCTTAGTGAGATTGTCATAGAATTGTACATGATCAAAAGACCACCCTAGGAAGGTTTTAACTTTTAAGATCGCACCACAGCGTCATAGTAAGATTGCACCACAAAATTGTAGTCAGATGATTCCATGGGATCATTCAGGATTCTTCAATATATATATATATATATATATATATATATATACCTATGTACATAATTTATTCGATAATTCATTTGTTTTGTCATAGTATTCAAAACTATCTCTAAAGTGGAATGACTTTATGCCTTTGGTTAGAAGTGGTTATGATGTCATAGGTATATGGTGGATTGTGTTATCTTGATTCCATTAAAAACTAATTTTCCTATTATAAAACTTAATAAAAACATTAGTAAAAAAGAAAAAAGAAGGATTTAGGCCTTAATTGCCCCATGCACGACATTAGAACTTGTTACTGTTAGGTTCAGTTGTA